ACTGGGAAGACCCAGAGGGATTGGGTGGAGAGGGAGGTGGGAGGGGGGACCGGGATGGGGAATACATGTAAAAAAAAAAAAAAAAAGATACACTATGGTTGTGATAAAATAAATAAATAAATAAATAAATAAAAAATGAAAGAAAAAAAAAAACGAAAGCACGTCAGTGGCTTTTATTTATTTTGGTTGCATGGGATCTTAGTTTCAGCATGCATGTGGGCTCTAGTTCCGCGGCCAAGGATTGAACCCACAACCCCTGCATCACACAGGGAGTGCAGAGTCTTACCCACTGGACAACCAAGGGAAGTCCCTCTCATGGCCCTTCTAATAATGAAATGTAAGGCTAAAGTCTTCTCTAAGATGGAGGCATTTGACCTGAGCCTCCCGAAAGGAAAAGACGTTAGCCATGTGATAGACTGGTCTCAGCTAAGAAGCATGAAGGAACAAGAGAGATGGCGTTGCAGAAGGTGATTGGGATCAGAGCCTCCATGGGCAGAGGGGAAGGCACCCGAGGAAATGTTCCAGCAGCAGAATTGCTCTGGGGCCAGATGTCGAGGTGCACGAGGGTGGAGCTGAGGCCCTGGGCAGGGACAGGACACATGGGTTCAGAACACCTGGGGCTGCCCCCTGGAAACCATCTGCCAGATGACCTTGGGCTTCTCTGAAGCATCTTGGCAGAAACAAAGGGGAAGCCCTCAGAGGTGGCTGAGGCCCTCCTTGGGCAGAGGAGCCCCTAGGGGCTGTGGTCAGAGTCGCACCAACGTGGGCAACTAGGGAGGAGAATCAATCACCTGCTCTCCCATGTGGCAAGGCTGGGGGCCCCCAGTTACCCTGAGCCCTTTCCTAGATCATGAATTGTAGTTTTATACAAGGAATGATCAGCCAGCTCTGGTTTGCAAAAGATTTGACCCATTTTTGAAAGCAATACAGGAGTATTTATTTTCAGCTAGGCCAACAGTTACCTTAAAAATGCTTGCTGATTTGATAAGCAAGTGTAACGTAGTTATTTATTCACTTGAATTCTTGCATTATTTCTGAAGTCAAGTGTGTTTTCAAACTTTTATTAGCCATTTGTGTTGTGTTTTTGTATTGCCTAATCACATTACCAGCCTGCTAAGGAGTGTTTGGGGTTTTTTTTTTTTAATATTTTTTGTTTATTTATTACTTCTGGCTGTACCAGGTCTTCAATTCTGTGAGCGGGCTTTCTTTAGTTGCAGAGAGTGGGGGCTACTCGCTAATTGCCATGCATGAGCTTCTCGTCGCGGTGGCCTCTCCTGTTGCAGAGCACAGCTCTAGGGAGAGTGGACTCCATAGTTGAGGCACACGGGCTTAGTTGCCCCATGGCATGTGGAACCTTCCCCGACCGGGGATCGAACCCATGTCCCCTACATTGCAAGGCAGACTCTTAACCACAGGACCACCAGGAAAATTCTAGAGTTTTTAAATTTCTTTTTAGCTATCAACCAGGCCTTTATTCTTTCTGATCTATACCTACCTTCTTTTTAAATAATTTATTTAGCTGAAGTCACCTAACAAAACCAACCATTTAAAGAAAACAGTTCTGTGCAATTTAGTACATTCACAAGGTTGTGTGGCCACCAGCGCTACAGACTTCCAAACATCACTCCAAAGTGCACATTTTTCCATGGTGTTGAAATGGTTTGATCATTTGTAAAAAAAAAAAACTCCATTTTGATTTCTGGGCACAATAAAGGGCAGAAATGCTATGGATCTAACAGAAGCTGAAGATATTAAGAAGAGGTGGCAAGAATACACAGAAGAACTATACAAGAAATATCTTCTCAAAAAAAAAAAATCTCAACCCAGATAAACACGATAGTGTGATCACTCACCTAGAGACAGACATCCTGGAATGTGAAGTCAAGTGGGCCTTAGGAAGCATCACTACAAACAAAACTAGTGGAGGTGATGGAATTCCAGTTGAGCTATTTCAAATCCTAAAAGATGATGCTGTGAAAGTGCTGCACTAAATATGCTAGCAAATTTGGAAAACTCAGCAGTGGCCACAGGACTGGAAAAGGTCAGTTTTCATTCCAATCCCAAAGAAAGGCAATGCCAAAGAATGCTTAAACTATACTACTGCACAATTACACTCATCTCACACGCTAGTAAAGTAATGCTCAAAATTCTCCAAGCCAGGCTTCAACAGCACACTAACCGAGAACTTCCAGATGTTCAAGCTGGATTTCGAAAACGCAGAGGAACCAGAGATTAAATTGCCAACATCCACTGGATCATCAAAAAGGCAAGAGTTCCAGAAAAACATCTACTTCTGCTTTATTGACTATGCCAAAGCCTTTGACTGTGTGGACCACAACAAACTGTGGAAAATTCTGAAAGGGATGGGAATACCAGACCATCTGACCTGCCTCTTGAGACACCTGTATGCAGATCAGGAAGCAACAGTTAGAACTGGACATGGAACAACAGACTGGTTCCAAATAGGAAAAGGAATACGTCAAGGCTGTATATTGTCACCCTGCTCATTTAACTTATGTGCAGAGTACATCATGAGAAATGCTGGGCTGGAGGAAGCACAAGCTGGAATCAAGATTGCCAGGAGAAATATCAATAACCTCGGATATGCAGATGACACCACCCTTATGGCAGAAAGCAAAGAACTAAAGAGCCTCTTGATGAAAGTGAAAGAGGAGAGTGAAAAGTTGGCTTAAAGCTCAACATTCAGAAAACTAAGATCATGGCATTTGGTTCCATCACTTCATGGCAAATAGATGGGGAAACAGTGACAGGCATTATTTTTTTGGGCTCCAAAATCATTGCACATGGTGACTGCAGCCATGAAATGAAAAGACTCTTGCTCCTTGGAAGAAAAGTTATGACCAACCTAGACAGTTTATTAAAAATCAGAGACATTACTTTGCCAACAAAGGTCCATCTAGTCAAAACTATGGTTTTTCCAGTAGTCATGTATGAATGTGAGAGTTGGACTATAAAGAAAGCTAAGCACCGAAGAATTGATGCTTTTGAACTGTGGTGTTGGAGAAGACTCTTGAATGTCTCTTGGACAACAAGGAGATCCAACCAGTCCATCCTAAAGGAAATCAGTCCTGAATATTCATTGGAAGGTGAATGAATGAATGATTCATTCATGGAAGGTGGATGAATGGATTCATTCATGGAAGGTGAATGAATGGATTCATTCATGGAAGGTGAATGAATGGATTCATTCATGGAAGGTGAATGAATCAACTTCACTGATGCTGAAGAGGAAACTCCGATACTCTGGCCACCTGATTAGAGAACTGACTCATTGGGAAAGACCCTGATGCTAGGAAAGATTGAAGACAGGAGGAGAAGGGGGCAGCAGAGGATGAGATGGTTGGATGGCATCACCCACTCAATGGACATGAGTTGAGTAAACTCCAGGAGTTGGGAATGGACAGGGAGACCTGGAGTGCTGCAATCCATGGGGTCACAAAGAGTCGGAGATGACTGAGCAACTGAACTGAGCTGAACTGAACTGAACCTCCAGCAATTTATAAATGTAAGTTGATAATTATGTATTGTAGTACAGAATGTTCTCTATTATGAAATGGGATTGCAATTCACACATAAATGTAAGTCAAGCACCAGGTAAAGATTCACGGGGCTCAGAAAGTACACCCACTACAGTCTGGCTTTTCAATATAACTGAATACAACTCTTTTTTTTTTTTTTGCAAAAATAAAATGATAGGTAACAAAAATGGTATTTTCTTCCCTTCTTATGCCAAATGTTTCTTAGTACATTTTTGCTTATTAATGTCTTAATTAAAATTTCCCAGAACCCCAAATTTCTATCTCATGCTCTGTGCTTCCTGAAACCAGTCTAGTTAAGATCATCAGGCCCTGGCCCTGCTCCCATAGCTACTGCCAACTGTCCAGCACGTTAAAGTAATCAGCAGATGTTCAAGAAAGGTGGTGAGGCCTTTGGGATTTATTTCAGGGTTTCTTTCTGACAAAAAAGAAAATTCATTTTAAAAGAGAATTCCGGTGTGAACAAGTGATCAGAAGTCTTTCAAAGTTGTAAATATTAAAGCAAAACCAAACGATCTCACGAAACTCACAAGTTTTTCTTTTCCAAAGTAGCTCTGGGCCCTCTTTCTGCACACGTGAAGAGGGCACCTAGGGATACTTGCCTTAGGTCAGAGGTCAACACACCTTTTCTGTAAAGAGTCAAATAGTAAATACACAGGCTCAGCACACCCCACACATTGCTGTCACGCACTCTTTGTTGAGGTTTATAACATCCCTTCAAAAAAAAATGTAAAACCATTCTTAGCTCTGGGCAGATTCTGTCCACTAGCTATCCTGTGTTGACTCCTGGTTTAGGGTCCAGGGGAAAGGCAGTGCACAGAGATGAGAGAATGTACTTTTTTTTTTTTTTGACTTTTTATTTTATATTGCAGTATAGCCATTTAACAAAGTTGTGGTCGTTTCAGGTGGACAGCAAAGGGACTCAGCCACAGGGAGAAGGTATTCTGACCTGGGGCCAGCATGGACAGAGGAGCCTGGCAGGTTACAGACCACGGGGTGGCAAAGAGTCAGACACAACTTATCAACTAAACAACAGCAACAAATAAGCCTCTTAGCTCTGTGTCCTCCTGGTCCAGCTTCACCTGTTTCCTCAACAGACAAGCAGAGGGCTTGCACTGGAAACTTCTCAAGCTCATTCGAGGACCCTGTGAGTGCCCCCAGATAACCTGGCTCAAGATATCTCCCGCTGTTGCCACGCACCACCTCTGTGTTCCTTCCAGGCCACAACATCATCCAAAACCTCAGCCTGTCCTCTCCTCCTCAGGCAGCCCTCCCCGGAGCCACATGCTCGAGGGAAGACAGAACACATCAGAACCACGTCTGCCCAGGAAGACATGCTGCCACCCGAAAGAAAGCCAGCCACTCACCTGAGACAGGGCGCCCTGTTTCTTGCAGCTGGAGCCTCCGATGAGGACCGTGTTGGGCATGATTGGTCTGGGATACTCGAACACAAAGTCATATCTTAACAGCCAAATGGAGGCCTTCCGATACAAGGCCGGCAAGTGCACCTGCCTCCCAAGGAGCTCCCCCGCCAGGTCTTCATACTTGGAATACAGCAAGTAGAGCAGAATGTTCTCCAGGTAGTTCACCAGGAAGTTGCCCACCCTCTGGAGGAAGGTCATCCGGTCGGAGAACTGAGTGTAGAACCTGGGGACGTATGACAGGGGGCTCGGAGTCCTGGTGAACGTGTTCTCCAGGGTGCAGGGGAAGCCCCTGAAGAGGTAGACGGAGGGCAGGCTCAGGTACTCGGCCAGGATCACCCCGCAAGGTAAGGCCGGGTCTGTGAACAGGGCATCGAACTTGGTCTCCCGGAGGAAGCGCAGGGTGTCTGCGTGCCTCAGGAGACTCTGGCAGTTGGTAAAGTACATATTGATGACAATCATGTTGTTGCTATACTCCACCATGGGGGCAGTCACCAGCCAGCGAGGATAAAGGTGGTGTTTCCCGAAGGAGCGGTAACGGGCTGCCAGCTCTTCCTGGTCATAGGGCACTGGGTGGATTTTCCTTGTGTAGTACTTGGACTCTTGGAGGAGCAGATTGACTTCGGGCACCACCACCACGATCTCGTGCCCTTTTTCACCGAGACGCTCTGCGATGTCCCTCATGCTGAGCCAGTGGCTTCCATCCTGAGGGACCACCAGCAGCCTGTCCCCCAGGGCAAAACCCCAAAATGCTAAGAAGAAAACCACCACAGAAACTCTCCGAAGAAGACACACCATGCTGGAGAGTGGGCAAGTAGCAACAAGAATAATTTACAGGCTCTAAACTGCCAAGCTCTGGGAGAATTTTTTTTTTTTCCCTCAACGAATCCCTCCCCTTCACAAACCCAGCCTACCTCTCCTTGCCCTGAACTGCCCTGTTACATGAAGGAATCTAAATTAATAGTTAACCACTTTCAAGCACATGGCTAAATTGCAATGACCAGGCCCCTTACCGCCGTTCACCTGAGCCTCTCGATTTATTTTTATTTTTCTCTGCATCCCCAACAATGGGTCTGTCCCTCTCCCACTGGGGGGCAACTTGGAGGGTCCCAGGGTCTGGCTTCAGCCCTTCATCCTGAGCAGCCCCCACCCCAGATTCTGCAGCATCCGTGACCATGTCCATGGACAAATATCTATCAGGGCTTCCCCAGTTGTCAACTTTTCTCACTCCCAAATGCAGGGTGAACAGATGCCAAGTTAAGGGTTGGAAACGACACAGCAGAACTGGTCACTCCAAATCCTGGTTACCATAGTGATGACTGGATTCAAGGGGGGAGGCAGAAAGCTGCCCTGGCACAGAGGAGTCTGACCTACTTCCCACACCACTTCTCCTGGTCTCACCACTGTGCCTGGGGGCCCTCTGTTATACCAGAAGACAAAAAGAATCCCAACAGGGGGCTTCCCTGGCGGCTCCGTAGTCAAGCATCCACCCGCCAGTGCAGAAGACCGGGGTTTGATCCCTGGCCCAGGAAGGTCCCACGTCCCACAACTACTGAAGCCTTCATGTCCTAGAGCCCACACTCCGCAGCAAGAGAGACCTCCGCGATGAAGAGCCGGCAGAAGACTAGAGAGGAGCCCCCGCTTGCCACAACTAGAGATAAAAAGGCCTGCAGCAACGACGACAGCAGCACAGCCAAAAGTAAATAAATAAAATTATTTTAAAAAATAATGCTAACAGATATGTGCTCAAAGACCACGACGCCCACTCTGACTGTGGTTAAGAACAGAAATTCTGAAGTCTGCCGCCTCCCCCTCCCCACGCTGCCCCCTCCAGCAGCGCAACCCACTTCTCTGCACCTGAATTACTGCGTCTGCCACAGAGGCTAATCTAGAATTAGCGAGTCAATCCACTAATCCGAGAATGTGGGCACCAGGGCAGGTCCTTCAGAGGGACTTCCTCTGGCTCTGATCAGGCAGCCAGGTTCTGTGTGGATGAACCGAGAAGCCTTCTGCTGGGCAAAAGCAAATCCTCAAATTGTCTCAAAGGGGGACTTCCCTAGTGGTCTAGGGGTTGGGAGTCCACCTGGCAATGCAGGGATGCAGGCCTGAGCCCTGGTTGGGGAACAAGGATCCCAGATGTCTCTGTTATTGTTTCTCAGTCACTAAGTTTTGTCCTACTCTTTGCGACTTCACAGACTGCAGCACATCAGGCTCCTCTGTCCTCTACTATCTCCTGGCGCTTGCTCAAATTCATGCCCATTGAGTTGGTGATGACTTCCAACCATCTCATCCTCTGCTGCCCCCTTCTCCTCCTGCCTTCAATCTTTCCTTGCATCAGGGTCTTTTCCAGTGAGTTGGCTCTTTCATCAGGGGGCCAAAATATTGGAGCTTCAGCTTCAGCATCAGTCCTTCCAATGAATATTCAGGACTGAATTCCTTTAAGATTGACTGGTTTGATCTCCTTGCAGTCCAAGGGACTCTCAAGGGTCTTCTCCAACACCACAGTTCAAAAGCATCAATTCTTTGGCACTCAGCCTTCTTTATGGCCCAACTCTCACATCTGTACATGACTACCAGAAAAACCACAGCTTTGACTAGATGGATCTTTGTCGGCAAAGTGATGCCTTTGCTTTTTAATACGCTGTCTAGGTTTGTCCAGATGGCATGCCATGGAGCATGGGCCTGCGTGCCACAACTAGAGTGTGTGAAACAAAGATCATGCATTCTGTAACTAAGACCCAAGGCAGCCTAATAATTAACTAATTTTAAGATAAAATCTCAAGGAGTGAAAGTTCCAAGTCGTGCACTGCGAATGGAAAGAGGGTATGAGGAATAAAAGAGGAAGGAGAGAAAGTGAGAAAATGTAGAAATATGAAACAGAGGGAAAGCAGAAGGTGACAGGGATTTGACGGTGACTCAACCAGCCAGCATTTGGAACAAAGATGTGTCTCTAGCATTGGATCCCAGACACCACAGAACACTTTCTTGGCTTAGAAAACAATTTCCCATTGGCTTAGGGAACTTCCCACTAATGAGGGCCCCTGGAAGCAAAGACTGCACAGCAGATGGCCTAAACGGCAGAAATGTATTACCAGGGTTCTGGAGACTGAATGCCTGAGATCAGCGCATGGGCCAGGTGGATTTCTTCTGGAGGGTTTCAGCAATGGTCTGCTCCAGGTTCCCTTCTAGCCTCTGATGATTTACCCTTTTTATAAGGACGTTGTTGTTATTGTCGTCATTTAGTTGCTAAGCTCTATCTGAATCTTTTGTGACCTCATGGACTGTATGTAGCCCACCAGGCTGCTCTGTCCATGGGATTTCCCAGGCAAGAACACAGGAGTGGGGTGCCATTTCCTTCTCCAGAGGGTCCTCCTGACCCAGGAATCGAATATACATCTCCTGCACTGGCAGGCAGATTCTTTACCACTGTGCCACCCGGGAAGCCCCGTGGGGGTTATGTCTACCCAAGTGATCTATTAGATAGTATTACCAACTCAATAAACATGAATCTGAGCAAACTCCAGGAGTCAGTGGAGGACAGAGGAGCCTGTCTTGCCACAGTCCATGGGGTCAGAAAGAGTTGGAAAAGACTTGGTGACTGAACAACACCAACAAAGTGATTTGTTTTAGGAATTAAAATCACTTTAAAAAATGCCTCCTTATTAACTGATTTAAGATAATAAGTCCATTCTGGGTTAGGATAAATAGCATATTAAAGAAAAATACCTGCATTTCCCAAAACAAACAAGAAAAGAGAAGAGTGACACTGTTTTACTTTTTTTTTTTTTTGCAAGTGACAGCTTATAGATTTAAACGGTTACAGATTATACTGTCACTGACCAGCTTCCTCTCCCAAAAGAGTCGGTGTTCTTTTGGTGTTCTACCGCATGTGCGCAGGTCCCCATGGGAGCTAGCACATGGTGAGAGCCCTGGAGTATGAGTCAGAAAGCCGGACTGACTTCCAGCTCTGCCACCCATCAGTCCAGGGTGTGACCTGGCTCTTGATTTTCCTGTTAGCACTGCCTGATTTACTGCTGAGTAGAGGGAGTCCAAAGATGACGGGTGTGGGAGGTAGGCTTTCCAAGTGAGAGGTGGTTCCTAGCAGAACTCAAACAGACTCGCCCAGGACTGCTCACCCACAGCTGAACTGGCACACAAGGGCCTGTCCTAACCTAACCTCGTGGGCTCAGGAAGCATGTTGGGACTCAGGAAAAGAGAAGAAGCCCAAGAAATGGCATGGAAGGGGCAGTGCAAGCACAACCTGGTCCCAGGAACCCAGCCAAATCGCAAATTCATTGCAACATCCCAGGGAGAAAAGTGCCAGCAGGGTTTCCCACTCACAGTGATCAGAGTCAGGAAAGGAGAGCATCCTGGTATGTGTCCATCAAGGTGGCACGGAGACCCTGATGGTCCCAAGGGAAGCAGAGTGAGTCAGAGTCTACCCTCCAGGGCAGGCAGGACCACCGAAGTTTCTTTGCAAGAACAGTGCTTCTAGAGGGAGAAAGACTGAAGGAAGTGTGTGGAGGTGGATGCAGCAAGATGCCTTGCAAACCTCAGGCTCCTCAGCCCAGGCCCCATCCAGCGGAGGACCCCCCGGGGCCTTCCTAGCAGAACTCTGCTCTGGTCTCTGAGTTGCTGGACAGGAGGCTTAGCTATGGGGCCTGTTCTTATTCCCAGCAGGCCCAAAGGGTCGTACAAGGAGACAGGAGATGAAAGAAAGAAACCAACACCACTTTGTAAAATGTCACCAGAGAGATAACCTTGCAAACTAAGAAGGGAGTGTGTAGAAGACTGTTTCTATTAATAAGAATGATGTGTGTGTATGCATGTGCATGTGTAAGAACAGGACAGCAGGAAGAAGCATCTAGAGTGTCTGCCAGTCCCAGCAAGAGAGAGGGGAGATCCTAAGGATGAGCCACCCTGGAGGGCCAGGCCTGCTCTGGGTAGTGCTGTGAGAACCCCTGTGTCCCGGGGCATCACTCAGTGTCAAGGTGGAAAGCCAGCCTTTTCTCAGGGCCTCCTGAAGGTCCAACCACTGAGTTTAGGGCGTGTATCCACGGCGGGCTACAGTCCATGGGGTGGCAAAGATCAGACACAACTGAGCAAGTAAGCACAGCATCCACAGGGAGAAGGGGGCAGATCCTGGGATGGAAGCTGAGATGCTCCTAGAATAAAATGGAGGACACCTGGCATTTTGAGTAGAGGGAAGGTAAAAAGGTTCTGTGTATGTGGAGGGGGTGATGTCATGATAGAAGGAAGATGATTAGAAAGGTTGACACTTGAATTACCTGCAGCTCATGATAAAGAGGGATTGGATCTACAAGATTTAAAAGGTCCTGCAAAGTGTTTGAGGCCTGAAAAAAGACATTTACTAAATCCAGAATCTAAAAGGAGCAAAATCAAATTAATAAAAAGCTATACAAATATAACCTCAGGTCAGTTGGTCCACTGTGTTTCAGCTCATCAAGCGACAGTGACAGAATATGTGATGTGGCATACGGGGGCAATTTAATCCCCTTGCTAGGCTGCGGGGTGGGGACCCCTGAAGTCAGAGTGCTCTGGGCCCAGGTCTTGGCACAGGTCCCAAAGGGTCAAGTCTGAATCACCCATGGATAGGCCAGCCCTGGCAAATATGGTTTGCTCAGCCTGATGTCTCTGGTGGGCACACATCCTACCATAGGGACCTTGTCTGTGACCTCCGGGGTGGGGTGGGGGGGTGTGCGGCATCATTGTGGGTGGTGACCCCAGGAGCCAGCAGTAAGGGGGGGCCACAGGTCACTCAGCAGCCAGGACAGAGG